AGTGGGTGTGTGATTGTGAGAACGTACCTTCATGTTTGTGTGTGTGAGTGGGTATGTGTGATTGTGAGTGTGTGAGAATGTACCTTCACGTTTGTGTGTATAATTGTGTGTGAGAACGAACCTTCACGTGCATGTGTGAGTGTGCATGCATGTGCCTGGCGGTTGCCTCATCCGTCCTGGTGGGTGCCCACCTCACCTCTTCCTCCCCTCTCCTCGCTCGGTGCCATCTGCACAGGACGTGGGCCCTGCTGGCTGCCCTCGGGTGCTGTTTCTAGGTCCCTGGCGCGGGCAGAGGGAAGCGGGCTGAGGATGCGCAGTGAAGACTCCAGACACCAGCGTTGCTGGGGCTGGGCGTGGTCTGTGCCCCTCCGCAGGTGTGAGCGTCTCCTCGGGAGCAAGGACCAGGATCCCTGGTTCCTCCTGCCCAGTCGTTGAAACAGAGTGACTACTCCACAATATGTCATGGAAATAATGTCAATGGCACACGAGCCACAGTGCCAGTGATACCCATGGGCCCGATCCCCAGACAGCGGCAGCAGCTCCCCTTCCTGCGCCCCGCCCTCCAGGCACTGCGCGCTGCCTTCTTCTCTTTGGTTTCCCAGGTAGAGACCCCTGGCGTCCCTGTTTTACGGGTGGGGAAGCGGGAGCGCAGAGATATGAGGTAACTTGCTCCGGCCCCAACTAGGAAGCAGCGGAGGGAGGCCCAGGCTCTGGCCACCCAGAAGTCCGGCCGTACAAGGAAGGCTCAGGAAGCTTCCTTTGGTTGTCACTGCTTCTCTGTAGCCAAGGGTGCCTCAGGGACTCAGAGCGAATCCTGGAGAGTCACAGCTCCCTGCTGGCAGTTGAAAGAGACTCCAAACACCATTCTGCTCCAGCCCAGGTGGAGACATTGAGGCCCAGAGGGGTTAAATTTGGGGAGAGAAGGACACGTGCCCACGGAGCGTGAAACGGCGTGTGAATGCTGAGTAATTCCGAGGCCTCTACGAGACGTCACGTTTCCAAAAGCGCCCGAGCCCTGCCCCTCCGGGAGGAGGCACCATAGAAATGTGTGCTAACAAGCCTCCCGCGGCCTGCGGGGGATAGGAGAGAGCAGGAAGCTTTCAGAACAGTGGGAGTGACTAGAAAAGGCTCAGGCTGGGAGGAGATGAAGGGCCCAGCCCCACGGTCTTTCTCATGGGTGGAAAGTCACCAGCACTCAGAAGAGCAAGGCTAAGACAGCCTGGGGAGCTGGCACAGGTTCTCCGATCTTGAAGACGCCTGTGATTAGATCCGGCTCACCGGGATATTCCAGGAGAATCTCTCCATCTCGAAGTCCTTCACTTAATCACATTTGCGAAGTCACTTTTGCCATGTAAGGCATCATAGTCACAGTTTCTGGGGGTTAGGGTGGTGACATTTTGCGTGGACATGATTCTGCCTATCACAGCAGGCTCCTAATGTGATATAGATCCCTGTAGTACTGATTAGAGGAAGGACTCATCTTAATTCCTCCCATTACAACTTTCTCTAATGTTTCTAATCTCCATGCTGAAATAAACGAGCCTTTGCCATGTTAAATCAGAGGAGAGGAAATCATCTCAAAGGTCTGTGAAAGGGTGATTTTTGAGAAGAGACCCTACACATTTTTACTTTTTGAGATGTCTCACTCTTGTCGCCCAGGCTGGAGTGCAAAGGCAGCATCTCCGCTCAGTGCAAGCTCCATCTCCTGAGTTCAAATGATTCTCCTGCCTCAGCCTCCCGAGTAGCTGGGACTACAGGCATGCGCCACCACGCCTGGCTAATTTTTGTATTTTTAGTAGAGATGGGGTTTCATCGTGTTGGCCAGGCTGGTCTCAAACTCCTGACCTCAGGCAATCCACCCGCCTCTGCCTCCCAAAATGTTGGGATTACAGGCGTGAGCCACCACGCCCGGCCACCCTAAAAATCTTTTAATGCAAGAGAATGCTGTAGAAAGAACTCCCACCTGTGGTTCCTTGCCACCCTCACCCCTCCCAAGTTACCCTTCGCTGCAACAGGCCAGATCCTTTGTTCCAGAAAGGCTGGTTGGGAACAAGGGGCCACCTGGAGTCAGCAGCTGAATGGATGCCTGAGGTTCATGGATTCTAAGACTTTTCCAAATCCCCTTTCTGCTGCCACTGGAATTGTCTCCCAGAAACACAGTTCAGACTGTTTGACTTCCCAATTCTTTAGCATCCAGGCTTTTCCTTGGTTAGGTCCCAGCCTACTTATTCTCTCATATAATCCGTACACCAGTTATATGAGGTAAGTACAATTGCCATATCCATTTTACAGATGAAAACACTGAGATTAGATTCATAACATGCCCAAGGTTCCATAACTGGCAAAGGGTACTGCCCATGTTTACACCCACATCTCTGACTCCTGGGCCCAGTGCATAGACTCTGTGGCCTGCTCAACATCCTGGGTCATTGCTAGAGGAATCGGGGGGCTCATGCCTTCTCCTCTGCTTTGATGGGGGCCAACTTAAGCTATGGACCAGAAGGGGTGGCCCATGGGAAAGACAAAGCAGGAGGAATTAGCAGTACTGGAGGGGAGGCAGGGCCTTTATCTTAGCGGCCTTGTCTGTTCAAATCCAGAGACATCCTCTCCACCCTGGGAGGCAGGAAAGCAGCCCAGTCAGAGAGGTGGAGCCCTGGACAACAGATCTACAACAGTGCAACATCCAACCCTGGCCCAGTGGAGGCTGCAGCCTGGCCAGGAAGGGCTCAGGTCAGCTTGATTAACATATTGCTGACCCAGCCGGGTGCGGTGGCTCACGCCTGTAATCCCAGCACTTTGGGAGGCCAAGGTGGGCGGATCACGAAGTCAGGAGATGGAGACCATCCTGGCTAACACGGTGAAACCCTGTCTCTACTAAAAATACAAAAAAAAATTAACCAGGCATGGTGGCGGGTGCCTGTAGTCCCAGCTACTTGGGAGGCTGGGGCAGGAGAATGGCATGAACCCAGGAGGTGGAGCTTGCAGTGAGCCGAGATTGCGCCACTGCACTCCAGCCTGGGTAACAGAGCGAGACTCTGTCTCAAAACAAAAAACAAAAACCAAACAAACAAAAAAACATATTGCTGATCCATTTTCATATCTTAAAATTAGAAACAGAAGGCCGGGTGCGGTGGCTCAAGCCTGTAATCCCAGCACTTTGGGAGGCTGAGACGGGGGGATCATGAGGTGAGGGGATCGAGACAAACCTGGCCAACATGGCAAAACCCTGTCTCTACTAAAAAAAAAAAAACTAGCCGGGCGTGGTGGCGGGCGCCTGTAGTCCCAGCTACTTGGGAGGCTGAGGCAGGAGAATGGCGTGAACCCGGGAGGCAGAGCTTGCAGTGAGCTGAGATCCGGCCACTGCACTCCAGCCTGGGCGACAGAGTGAGACTCTGTCTCAAATTAAAAAAAAAAAATTAGAAACAGAAGTACAAGCTCCGGCTATTCTATTTATCAAATCAGAACAGAGTGAGGCTGACGTTTGTGGAAGCTGAGGTTTCTCTGCTCACCTTGGTCATTTAGGGCACCCTCTCCTTGTTCCCCTGTCAGTGTCCAGGTCTCCCCAGTTCTTGCCTTCTTCCCTCTCTCCCGTCTCAAAACACTGTATCAGGACCAGATCCCAGAGAGTGCCCCACCTGGAGGTGATAATGATTTGAATGTTAAGGCTGGGTCTTTAATTCTGTGTCTTCATGCTTCTGCTCCGAACCACTTAGGAAGTAGATCCAGAAATCAGGCAGTTGGGGCGCAACAGATCAGTTTCAGATGGATGAAAGTTGAGTTGGAGGCTGGGGTTTAGGTGTGTGGCCACAGCCTGGGATAATGCTTCACTTTGGACTTGAACTCCTCACCCCATCACAGGCAAGTGGGTTGCCACAGGCCTCCCTGGAGGGGTGGAGCCTGCCTGGGGAAAATGGAATGGTAGGAAGGGGCTAGATCACAGAAGGCCTTGGATGCCTAGCTAAAACGTCTAAATTTGGGCTTTGTGTTTTATAGGAGTTGTTGAGGATTCTTTTGAATAGATGACATGTCCTGACCTGCTACATTCTTTCAGAGGACTGATTTGGGATAAAAGATGGTTTGGAAAAGAAAGACTGTCAAGAGAAAACTGGGCCGGGCGGGGCAGCTCACACCTGTAATCCCAGCACTGTGGGACGCCGATCCTCCCACCTCAGGCGGGTGGATCACCTGAGATCAAGAGTTTGAGACCAGCCTGGCTAACATGGCGAAATCCCGTCTCTACTCAAAATACAAAAATTAGTGGGGTATGGTGGCGCATGCCTGTAATCCCAGCTACTCAGGAGACTGAGGCAGAGGAATCGCTTGAACCTGGGAGGCGGAGGTTGCAGTGAGCCAAGATCTTGCCACTGCACTCCAGCCTGGGTGACACAGCGAGACTCTATCTCAATTAAAAAAAAAAAAAAAGAGGGAGAAAACCACTGAGAAGATGCAAACTAATCACTCCTGGAAGACAGTGGTCCGAATCTAAGTAATGCTCTCTAGTATTCATTCCACAAGGGTCTCAGGCGTCTCATGAGATCTCAGGCTGACTTACACTCACATTAGACACATTCAGGTTTTGGGTTGAGCATATCCATGAGTATTTGCAGATAGTAATTTTTATAACTATTAAATAATTCATGCTGACATTGTTTTCCCTGTTGTGTTCTTGAAAAAGATGCTGTTTACCGCACAGGCAGTGGTGAAAATAAATTAGCCACCTGCTTTGCCACCCCTTTTCCAATCTTGCTGTGTCCCATGGGGGATGCCAGGCTCTGCTGGGCACCTTTCTGAAAGTGTTCTTTTCAGTAGAATATGTGCTGAGCTTTTTTGCAAAATCAGGCCTTAAAAAAAGGTTACACTTTTTAATTTTCATTTAAAAAATTTCTTTTTCACTCCATTAAAATTCATCTCCATGAAATGGGTTCAGAGTGGTTTTAGCAATTCTGTCTGTCACCCATTCTAAGATACTGCTGGCGCCACGTGCAGCCACCCCCTGCTGAATGGGAAGCAAGTGGCAGAGCCGAGTGTGCACCTGGAACCCCAATGTTGAGGTCTCTGGTCAAGGCGGCCCCCACTCTCCTTTCATTCGCAACCCCCCACCCCCAGCCCACACTACCTGCCAGTTTTACATCTGTTTGGACAGGAAGCCTTACAACCCTGCTCTGCTATTTTTAGGAAGCGCTCACATTGAGTCAGCCTTTCTGCTGGATTCACGCCCTCTGCTTGATGGTTCTCGGGCTGTCTGCCTTTTCAGCAGGAGCCTCGGGCTCACATCCTCAGACAGTGAGCACAACGCTTCTCTTCTCCCTGCCTGTCTCAGCTTTGGTCTGCACCCCCATTTTTATCACCTTCCTAGAACAAGGGCAGGCTTTTAGGGGGTCCATATTTTCTTGTTTCTCTCATTAACAGTCTCCCCACAAGTCATGCACATTAACATGGATAGAGCTGGAGGCCCTTCCTCTTTTTGACAATTGTGCATTAATGTAGCTATAAGTGGGAACCTTTTTTTTTTTTTAAATCAAGTCTACATTCAAACATGCTTTTAAACTAAAAATAACTGCATTTAAATAACTTTAGGCAGAATGATATAAAGGAGGATTTAAATGTTAGCTGTAAATTGATACTCTTCATTCTTATCAATTCTTATCATTTCTTATCCCAGAGTATAGCCAAGTGACTGTTATAGAAAAGGTGCTTAATAAATGCTTGATGGAGGAAAGAATAAATGAATAAATTCTGTAATGTTAATAGTTTGGTGATGTATCCCTCTCAAGGGTGAAACTTGTAATTTAACACTCAGAACTTTTCTTTAATAAATTGCAAATGGTAGAGTTTTCAGGCGTCTGTCCAGGTTGCACCAGAAATATTTCAGGCAATTGAAATATTTCTTTGGCTGAGGGGCTCTGGTGCCCCTCAAAGGCCAGGTCTGATTCCCAACAAAGCCAACTCTAGTCATTTTCCTAGGAGATTTTATAAACCAGGGAACTAGTTAAACACATTTCATTGAGAAAGTTACACCAAGATTTGATCAATTCAATTTAAAATGGTTTAACCAGTAAAGAAAATGTATTACCTCTAAAACAAGCAGTCTTTGGATAGGACAGGTCTAAGGTTAGTTATTCTAGTGGCTCAATAATGACATTAAGGTCTGTGCACTTTCCACTTCTTCCCAGCTACCTCGAGGGTATCAGCTTTGCTATCACAGGCTTACACTCCTCATGGTTGCAAGGTGGCTGCCACAACTGCAGCATCATATGCAGACATGACAGTGTTCAACAGAGGAGGAACAGTTTCTTCCCCTGCCTCTCTTTCAGGACTTCAGAGTACCTTAACAGAAGCTCCTCAGAAAAATGTCCCATATATATTATATATATAAAATATTTATATATTTTTATAAATATATATTTTTATATAATATATGGGAGATATATATATATATTTTTTTGAGACAGGGTCTCATTCTGTCACTCAGGTTGAAGTGCAGTGGCGTGATCTTGGCTCACTGCAGCCTCAACCTCCTGGGCTTAAGCGATCCTCCCACCTCAGCCACCCTTTGTAGCTGGAACTACAGGCATGTGCCACCACACCCTGTTCCCTTATACCTTTTTGGCCAGAGTAGGGTCACATGCCCACTTCCAAACTAACACTGGCAATAGAACTGGTACCACTGTGGACAATTGCAATCATTCGTGGTTTACAATTGAGCCATATAGCAGAGGTAGAGACACCTAAACACATTAGGACCCTTCCAGCAAGGATAAAGGGAGGGAGAGCTATAGGATGGGCCATCTACAGTGCTGGCTCTGGCGCCCCTCAAAGGCCAGGTCTGATTCCCAACAAAGCCAACTCTAGTCATTTTCCTAGGAGATTTTATAAACCAGGGAACTAGCTAAACACATTTCATTGAGAAAGCTACACCAATATTTGATCAGTTAATGAGAAATACATTTAGCTGTTAAGGGTACCCCCACTTTTCTTGCTTCCTTACTCTCAAGGAGACCCCTATTTTCAACATTTTCAGTTGTATTCTGTGACTTTTTTCATTTGGCTGGGAATGATGTGGTTGAGGGATCTACAATCTACTTCACAGTTCAGCAACAGATGTCATTCATTCATTCATTCATTCATTCATTTATCAAATATTTATTATACTTTTATTAAGCACTGCAGATACAAATATTTTTAGAAAGTTCAGGTTTTTGTGGAGACCCTGCCCTCCTAAGGAGAAGATCTACTAAATGTGCCTGGGTAGCAGAGAAGACTCCGGAAAACCTTTCAGAAAAGGAGTTGTTGGAGCTAGATGTAAAAGTTAAGAGTTTTCCAGGTGGACAGAGCGGGAGGGAGGGCGTGTTGGGTCGAGGGCAGCATGACAAAGGCACAGGCCGTGTGCCATGGTGTGTTCAGAGAACACCACGCTCAGCGTGCCTAGAGGACGGGAGAGGGTAAAGAGGTGGAGCCACAGAGGCGGAAGATGGAAGGAGGTCGGATAGGGATGGGCTCTGAAGTCAGGCCCCAGTTTGAATCCAGGTCCCACTTTTGCAACAGCTCAATGGTTGCCTTCATGTCCCAGGGCTGCCATAACAAATTACCACAAACTGGGTGGCTTAAAACAAGTTATTCGCTCATGCTTCTGAAGGTCAGAGGTCCAAAATGGGGGTATGTTGGGTGTTGGCAAGGCTGTTTCCCTCTGAAGGCTCTGAGGACGAATCCAGCCTATGCCTCTCTCCTAGCTGCTGGTGGCTGCTGGCAGCCTCAGGTGCTCCTTTGCTTGGGGCTTTAAAATTCCATGCTCTGCCTCTGGCTTCACTAAGCCTCCCTTTCTCTGTGTGCCTCTCTGTCTCTCTCCCTTCCCTTCCCTTCCCTTCCCTTCCCTTCACTTTGGAGTTGACAATGGATTTAGGGCCTGCCTTAACCCAGGATGATCTCATCTCAAGGTCTTTACCTTAATCACATCTGCAAAGACCCTATTCCAGATAAGGTCACACTTTGAAGTTCTAGTGGGCCCATCTTTGGTAGACCGTAATGCAGCCACTACAGTAGTCTTAGATAATTAACTTACCCTCTCCAAGCACTTTTCCTTATGCAAAGTATAGGGATAAAATATTTATCCTAAGTGGTTATTGTATATATATACACATACACACACACACATATTTTTTTGAGATGGAGTCTCACTCTTGTTGCCCAGGCTGAAGGGCAATGGCATGATCTTGACTCACTGCAACCTCTGCCTCCCGGGTTCAAGCAATCCTCCTGCCCTAGCCTCCTAAGTAGCTGGGATTACAAGTGCCCACCACCACTCCTGGCTAATTTTTATATTTTTAGTAGAGACGGAGTTTCAGCATGTTGACCAGGCTGGTCTTGAACTCCTGACCTCAGGTGATCTGCCTTTCTTGGCTTCTTAAAGTCCTGGGATTACAGGCATGAGCCACCACGCCTGGCCTAACAGCTATATTTTAAAACACTGTCATCAGTCAGCATACTTAGTGCCTCCTCAAGTGCCCTGTGAGGAATCCTATGAGAGAGAAGACTTTGAGACATAATCCCCACCCCAAGCACTAAAAATGTAGTCGAGGAGATGAGATCAGAGGGAAGGTTCCTGAGGGGTGGGAGGAAAGCTTGGCTGCTGGAGGCTGCATTAGAGCCAAGTTCACTTTCCCCCTTTCCTGGAGTCAACAAAGTGCCGAGCCACAGTTTGCTGTCACAGCTTATGTGATCTTATTGGTCGGTGGTGTTATTTCTCCTCAACTTGAAATCAACCATAGTGAGTATTTATACTACAGGAGCCAAGCAAAAGCTACAAATCAGGGTTTCCCCCAACCCCCTCCCAAGGGAACCAGTTCGCCAGCGCACCAGTCACTCCTCGGGCCTAGTTGAAGCAGCCTGGGAGGTTGCAGCTGCAGTTTCCAAGAGGAGCGTGGCATGAAATTGGGTGTGATGTGGCACCAGAGCCTCAGGGTGGTGATGGCTGGAAGAGAGGCCTGAGGGGATGGGCCTCGTGTCTGGGATGGGAAAAGTGGCCCAGAGTTACCAACTCTCCAGGGGGCAGGGGGCAGAGCAGGGGAGGCCTAGGGCCAGCCTGGACAACTAGGAGGACCACTGCTCATACCTCCAGTCTGGAGGCCATGGAGGGACCAATGACATCAGTGGGAGATCAACCAGTAGGACCAGCTAGAGGCAGTCAAGGCCATGAGGGTAGGGGATGGCAAGAGGACAGAAAACGTTTCTCCTGGCCAAGATGAGAGGTGAGGTACCCCAGCCCCAACCTTAGATCTTCCCTGGGGAGAAAGAGGGGAGCAGAAATGCGAGGGCGAGATGATCTTGCATTTACTGAGTTTTAATCTTGAGTTAATTGTGTTTGAAACCAGAAGCGACTAACTTACCTTAAGAGGCAAATTTTAAGTTTTCGTATCCTTGGTGAAAATGTGAGCATGGGAGCCAAGATAACTTCTATTTCATAAAAGAATGTCTTTGAACATCTGAATCTGAGGGACTTGCTACTGAAAAAATTTTTTTTTGCTTCTCCCACCCCCACCAAAATCAAGTCAGGATGAGCTCTTTTCCAGGAAACATTTTTCCTTTCTTTTATTTATTTTTTCTGAGTTGGGATCTCACTCTGTCACCCAGGCTAAAGTGCAGTGGCATGACCATGGCTCACTACAGCCTGAAACTCCTCGGTTCAAGTGATCATCCCTCCTCTGCCTCCCGGGTAGCTGGGATTACAGGCCCAAACCACCACACCACCGCAAACAGCTAATTTTTAAAATTTTTATTTTTTAACTTTTTATAAAGACAGGATCTTGCCAGGCGCAGTGGTTCATGCCTGTAATCTCAGCACTTTGAGAGCCCGAGGCAGGCCAATCACGAGATCAGGAGATCAAGACCATCCTGCCTAATACAGTGAAACCCCGTCTCTACTAAAAATGCAAAAAATTAGCCAGGCATGGTGGCGGGTGCCTGTAGTCCCAGTTACTAGGGAGGCTGAGGCAGGAGAATGGTGTGAACCCAGGAGACGGAGCTTACAGAGGGCCAAGATCGCGCCACTGCACTCCAGCCTGGGCGACAGAGCGAGACTCCGTCTCAAAAAAGAAAAAAAAAAAAAAGACAGGATCTTTACATTGCCCAGGCTAGTTTCGAACTCCTGGCCTCAAGTGATCCTCCCACCTCGGCCTCCCAAAGTGCTGAGACTATAGGCGTAAGCCACCACACCCATACTACTGAAAATGTCAAACCTGTGATTTCATCTCAAACCTTTGTAAAATGAGATGTCATAATCACTATTT